TTGTCGTGGGAATCTAACCTTGCTATGTCTAAAGTAGTTGGACTGGGTAAACTTTAGCAGATCGTCCTGGGAAGCATCTTGCAGGGTGTTCGAGTGATTTTCGAAAAAACAAAAAAAACGATGAACTATCCAGGTCAGAATTGTTGTATGTAAGGAAATGAAAGCGCCCATCCATGACCCACATGAGTAACCAGAGATTGCTTTGGTCAGTAAAGCCTCAACAATCCGGATCAGCCCAGGCAAGTATTTAGGTGGACACTAGTGGATGGTCTAACTGACTCCCTACAAACTTAGGCCAGTAAGGCTTGTCAAGTGAACTCTAATTGAAGCCTGAGAGGAAAATGGTCCGACAACAACTAGGTTGCATGTTCGTGGGGAAACCTGTAACGTTCGAGCAGGCTAGGGTCGAGTTCTAAGTGAGCGTTAGCCAGCGAGTCGGATTTTAATCTCGCAAATGGCGGACAATGGCTTATAGTCGTTACAGCCCTCGATGGCTGTCTAACTTTGTCACTCAGTCATTCTTTACTCATCGGACCGATCCATGACAACTGAACAAATTGGGGTAAAGGCTAGGTTCTGAAAGCGACCCTTCAGGCCCTATTCCAGCACCTGGCAGAGGGCTATTCGCAGCCAGTCTTTAGAACACTTGAGGCATCATTAGGGACTTTCGGCCAAAGCATATCATCATCTCACGATTGTGCTTCAGTTGTCATACAGTTCAACGGCGATCAAACAATATTAAACCAATCATCAGTTGTTAGAGCCCTTACGTAGGATACTCAGTTCAGTCTCCGTCCGTTAAGTCTCGGGGCCCGTCTCTACGTGTGATAATATTTTCGGCTATCCTGGATCAGTAAGTCTATATTGAATACTCCCAACCAAACTACCTCAAACCAATTGATGGCATGCCGACCTAATCCCACTCCGGCGCTTGACTAGCAAGGGTACTCAACCCACCCTGAAGTGCTCATCAGTTACTGAACAGCCTAAGAGCAACATTTACTCTGAGAGTGAAACCTAACAAGGCAGACCCACAACCCATGCCACCCGCTATATCGGTCTCGAGACATGAGAAGGAAAGAAAATGAGATTCTGGTGGTGAAGTGCAGATCAAACAGAGATGAGAGAGGGGTGGGAAAAAGAGGTTTGCCGAGACATGGACTCTCATAGGCAGACCCAAAGAGGACACGCGATCCGGACGGCCTTAAAGGAAAAGTACATTGAATATGTACTTTATTTTTATGATTATAATGGCAAATTGCACAACATTGGCTCACTATTAGAGACCGTTGAGCCGGGTAAGGCGAAGCTCAGGTGAGCACAAGGGTGCCCGGATTCCTATCCTGAAAACCCCACAGCTTCCCAATCCACAAAAGTTACTCAACAATCTGCAGTCCTCCAACGTTTTTCCACAGTCAAGTGATCAGCATTCAATGACCAACTATTTTCAACAACATTCAGTTTCAGTCAGTGCTCAGTAACCTGTTATCTCAGCGACATTCAATTTCAGTCACTGCTATGAGATTTGTTACCTCGGCAACATCCAATCCCAATCAGAATTGAATAAACATCCGGTTGTTACCATCCAGCACGGAGATTGGCATCAGTCTGACTGTGCTAGCATTAAACGACACAATGGCTAGTGTCATTACCAAACTATGCACATGAGTGTGGTTCAGTCATTCTCAATTGAGGGGTCAGTCTTGACCGAACTCAACAGAATTGCCTCCAAAGATGCTTTCCAATATCGGTACGTCACTGCAACTGGCTTCGAGCAAGGGGAATTATCCATCTTTGTAGTTCATACCGAGTTCGCAGAGGGAACCACTCATGATTTGAGAATCTATGTGAAGAGAGGCAAGGAGACTCATGAGCATTTCGATTCAGTTTGGATCTCGGTTGTCAAATATCTTGAGGAGAGAAACAGGGAGTTTGATGCGAGCGGTATCAAACTGATCCGGAGTTTTTGGCCCAAACTTTATACTGACTACCCTAGGCCTCCAATCCCCTTCACTCTAACGAATGGCTCTTGTTGGGGTGATTTGGTTGATCTACCCAAGCGGCATATATCTCTTGCATAAATTGACTACAAGGCAGTTACCGAGGCGCCTGAGTTCAAACACCTCAGACGAGGGATTTTCTCTCAACCATATCTTCCTACTCTATGGGAATAATTTTGTGCTATGGTTGACTTCCGTATTATAGGACTTGGTTGGAAATGTTCGGAACTTGCCGACTTTAGGTGGCTCTATATCCAAAGGCCATGATCTCAGGAGGTACATAGGCGTGGTTCGAGGCACGGGAAACACAAGCGAAATGAGACATCAACGATGAAACTTTAGAGGGATGAATGGGAACTCCTAACGAGTGCTGGTCATGCCTTTCTACCTGTACTTTCTGAGACTATTATGAGTTCTCATTCTTCCCTCACTTACCTTTATTATTGCTCGAGTCAATCAGTCTTGCATCGTCCACATTGCCTTTGTTTGATGATTATGTTCTCTGATGATCCTGTCACAGTTCTCAAAATTAGTAAATTGGCAAAATTAACACATGCAAGGCACACCAGAATTTCATGATTATTATTTGCGTAATCCTTGCTGTTCCGTATCAAAATAAAAGATTTCTAAGACCGGGGACCGTGGAAAACCGCAATTGAAGGATCTCGCTCAAAGCCGGACGCACACAACAGGAGGGGATTTGCTAGAATTTATTTATTTATTTATTGCAAACATCATCCAAACCCTGCGTGACAAACTGTTGGCTTTCTGGTCGCCTGAAGGGGCCCGACTAGAAAAAGTGCGACAGCGTTCCGCAACATACTTCACTTTCACCCCAATCCACTTACCTTATGGTTAGGTGTCCACTTGGCAAGCTGAGGTGGATGCAGGAAAAGACGTGAACAACTCAGGTGGCTGCAAGCATTGGGAAGGCTGAGTTGTGGCGTGTAGTGGTCACGGAAGGAAGGCAGTGGGGACTGGCGGATCTTTTTTTTTTCTTTTTTTTTTTTGCAAGAATAGCCCTTGTGTAAGCCCTAAGAATAGAACGACTGGCGCCTACGATCACCTATCTGAAATCGAACAGATTCTCAAACTACAGCTAACGCTCCTTTGTATAATTTGTTTGGTTGTTCTCTGTGGTACCGCGGCACCTGTGCTTTTTCATCTATTAGCTCAAAGAGAAGTTTCCACTGGTGCTCCTTTCTTTAATGGTACTATAATACCTATTTTTATTTGTTTACTACTTGTTTAGCGGTGATAAGAGAACCGTCGGGATTGAGAGTTTCTCTGTCGGGCTGCTCCATCTATTGGTGGGGAGCGGCAGCTGCTGGAAACCGGGTCCAGCGTCCCATTGATACATCTTGTAACACAGAGATTGCCGTTTGTTGTTTTCCTGGCCTGTGGGCTTTTCTCTTCTCAGCCCGGGGCTCCGTTGTCCTGTGGAGCTGCTAGTGTCACCCATCCCGTCTCAGAGCACCCCTTATCTATTAGCCCAGCCCTGTTCAGCAGCCCCCCCCTGTAGTATGTCTGTCCCATTTTAACCCTTTAAACCCTATACCCTCTCCAACCTCATGAACATGACCTTCGTGATCCTTGAAGCCTGAACTGCAAGCTGCAGGGCTCACCTTCCAAGAATGAGATTTGGCAGGTAGATCTGATGTTGTAGCCTAAGGCTCACCTTCCAAGAACGAGATTTGGCAGGTAGATCTGATGTTGTAGCCTAAGTTACTTGCCTGCTTGACAGCCTAAGGTGAGCGACAGTGAGCTCGGTCTCATGAGTCGCACTCGAGAGCTAGAAACAGACCATAGCCTAGTGTGTGTGTGTGGTACTTGTGTAGCAAGTGTGACTGGGGTCATGTATTCCAGGTCCTTGTGGTGTCTGTTCTGACTTTCCTTCTGATCACCCATACAGCCTGTGAAGAGGTACTCCTATTTTCATTATACCCAAGTTTGAAAGTTCTGAACTTGATCGTATCTGCACTGTCGTGCGGTCACAGATGCCTCAGGAGCAAGAAGCCAGAGCGTACGAGATACACAATAATAGCCCTTGAGTCGCTTTGCTCTCGAGTGATAGCATCCCTGGGGGTTGTCAGACTAAATGCTTCCTTCTGAGTCTTGTCCTTGTTCTGTAACCTTGTCAAGGGGCCTGCTACTGATTACTTGCTCCTTGCTGCATGTAGGTAGGGCTCACGTCCTCCTTCCCCAAACTGGCGGATCTTACCTGGGGTTGGCAAGGAAAGCCTGTATGAGCAGGGCCTTTCAACAGCGTTGGGCGAATGACGCGCGGACAGAGAGTCAACTTGTAGATAGGCTAGCATGGTTGAGCGAGTAGGAAGTGTACGCCGTAGAGGGCTACTGCGTTGTTTGTTGTTGACTGAAGGTGGCTGACGAGCTCTTCTTTATGACGAGACTTAACGCGTATTGTTCCTCCCTAATTGGTGTGCATATTGCCTCGGTTTTCTGCTTTCTACGCGGCTCAATCACATTTGGTCTTCTGTGAGACTTCTCTATTTCGTATTACTGTTCTCACTCTACGGTTCCTTGCAAAGGGGCAGGCAGTCTTCAAGAAAGGATTACTTAAAAAAAAAGAAAAAGGGCTCTAATACCTATACTAAAGCAGTTGATTTTTTTCAGAAATTGTGTGAGATCTTAACTCGCCACCATGCACCCCCTGCAAAAAAAAAGAAAAAAAGAGCGAGTTTGCATACATCCAAAAGTCTCCGGGGCTTGGACTACCGTTCCTTCCATTGCCACAATTTACAAGCAAAAGAAAAAAATTGGGTCCCAGGAAATTCCCTCGGCTTATCCTTTTTTCTGGTTGACTTTCGCTGAAGAAGTTCTTTCTGAATTTGGCTTCCTTAATACGAAAAGACTGGCCAAGGAAAAAAAAAAAAAAAAAAAAAGGCCAAGAAGGCATCAGAGGACTAGCTAAAAGAAGGGAGGGCAAGAAATCATGGCTTTCCAAGAAACTTCACGGCTTGAGTAGGACCCCTCACTTACCTCCTCAATCTCTGCATCCATCTCTGCAATCCTTTCTGCTCTCACAGGTGGCTGTGCTTGCTTAAGTCTCTCCCTGTTCACAGTAATCACCAGACAAGAGTTCCATAAGAAACAATCTCTCTTTTACACCCCAAACAATTGAAAGATTTTACAAAAACAGGTCAAATTATCTGTGATTCAAGGCTGGGCCAGCAGCCGGCTGGTTCACTTCCCCCGGTCCACCCAGTGGCGGACCAGTCCCAGGGCGGGTGAACCGGGAAACCAGTTTTTAAAACAGATGCCCTTTTTTTTGGGCGGATTCGGATTGTGCTCGTCGAGATCTGTTGAAATCTACAACAAAATTTTGAATGTGTGATTTTTTTTTGTTGGGCCTTCAGAGGAGGGAAGGGTGGGGAGAGAAGTAGCATTGGGATGTTCACGAAGGTGTGGCTCTCAGGAGGAGGGGTCGAGTAAACAAGGTTGCTTGTCCAACCCCCTGTGGCCCAGAAATTTCAATTTGGCTCCATTGCAAGTTGTGGATTATACCATCAGTGGCCAGCATCCCAGAAGCTGGACGAGATATGATGAGAGATCGTCCTTGCCAAAACTCGTAGCTCTTCCAGAGTATAGCTCGATGTCCAAAAAGTTATGGCATTTTCTGTTTGTTTTTTTTCTACATACGGTGGGTCATCAGTCCAAAAGTGTCTTGTCTGGCAGTCTGTCCAGATGCATGTAGTGTAGTGGAGCAAGGTCCATTCTTGGGCTTGCACCTCGGACAGCAATGTTACTCTCACTTCACGAGCCGCAACCCAAACCCATGACTTTTTCCCCAGATCATAGGGATGTTGCAGAAGCATATAATCTCAGCAAAGCCACCTCTCAGGCATATTCTTTTACTTATGGATTCGAATGGGCGTGCATCACGACGTGCCATTTGCATATGGTCTGTGGTTCACTGGCCTACACGAACGGGGCCTTTTGGACCCCGCATCTTGAAAAGAAAATGCGGTGAACTTTTTCCCCTGATCTGCGAAGATCAGTGGCGGAGAGATCTCCATGTGTTCTTTTCAAGAAGAAGGGTCCAAAAGGCCCCAATTTTTTTTTGGTAAGGAGGCAGCGGCCTCCCGTGGGCTGGGCAATCGCAGGGGTGCCCCTTACCCCCCAGTCCCCCCCCCCCCCCCCCCTCCCCCCAGCGTGATACGCTGGGTTCGGCTGGCTGTCTGCCCGGTGCGACCCGCAGGCTCCCGGTTGCGGGAGCGGGACCAGCCCTGCTATGACTAGATTATTATTCATTATAATAAGTTATAAAACAAATTAGCAGTGGTTAAAGGATTATCGATCAGCAATAGAATTGTCATCAAAGCACTAAGTAAACCCAATCATCCCAAATTACGGACCCCTATATGTGCACACATACCACACACCTATTGGCTGGTGTCTGCAGAGAAAAATTGCAGCTTGGTCAAATGCAGCAAATTGGTGTCATGTAGCCTTGGGGAGACAATGGGAGAAGTTCATCAGTGTACCACAACGTAAACCCGAAACCCGGGAAACAGGTGGGCGCTTGCCTTGCTACCCCCATGTGAGACCGAGTTTCCAGCAGCTTCAGTCTCAGTCAAAGTGTCTGCGCCCAGGCACGATTCAGACAGTGGCCTGGGACCGAATTCGTTAGGCATGCCCAACCACCCAGTCACAAACGTGCGATGCTCCCTGCTTCAACCACATTACTGGGAGAGCCTGTAAGGCTCACAAATATTTTGGATTCTCACAAGCAAGGAGGATTGTAACCAACTGGCGCGTGGCAAGTGTCTGGCGCCGGCCAAGATTTGCAAAAATTGACGAGTTCAGGCCACATTGAGATTCAGGGGGCCCGCCTTCACTTAGGGCGGGCACACGCCTGCTGCAGGGCCCTATGCCGAGGCATAAACCCTCAATCAGCGACCTAGTTCAGTTGGTAAGACACGCAAGTGGCATTCAGGAGGCCTTGGGTTCAATCCCCATTGGCCTCATGTACCTTCCTGGGCAAGCTTGGCACCTGCCACCTAGAGATATGCCGTTGGTCCCCCCGAGTGGCATTGAGCAGAGACTGCTGATGTTCGTAGGGGGAGGGAACCGGAGGGGAGGCACAGTGACTGGCCCATAGCTCGGTCCTGATGCTACCGGTCTACCCCTGGCCGGTATCGCCCGCCTGCTGTAGCAGATATCGCACCTGCTGGTGGGTGCAGCTCCCGCATGTTCCCTCGTTGGAGGCTTGACCACGGATGTGGCTGCTACGGGGTCCCCCGTAATACTATAATGACAAAAAGAAGGCCTGAAAGGCTGTCCTGTCCAGATTCGAAAGGTAATTGAATTGGTCGGGCTTAAAGAATTAGCCTTACAAAAAAAAAGTAAAAAACGGTGTGCCCGTATACAAGCCACGGTTTTCGGAAATGTACGGGCCACTACAGGAGCGCCCAAATTCATTGGATTCGAAACGTTTCTACTCTATTTTTTCCGTCGCCGATAGCTGGGCCAAGTACTGGTGGTTTAACATGCTGCGTCCTTAGGGGATCAGCGTACCCCCGAACAGAAAAGACTGGCCGCAACTGGCAAAAAGTAAATATTCTGCAACTGCGCAGGTTCTTTTTCTTTTCCGTGCAGCAGAAGTTCGAGTAGGGGAAAAAAAGGCTTGGAGGGACTGCTGGTTTAACATCACTGTAATGACCCGCCAAAACACAGACTGAGAAGTTGAGAACACTGCTGATTTCTGGGTTTCGCCGCTGGATTGTATGCTTCGCTGAGATTCCCGCATTCTACTGAGTTTTCTAAGTCTGTGTGTGTGCGTGCCTGCTGGTCTGCGTGCCTGTCTGAGTGCTTGTCGGCCTGAGTGTGTGTGTGACCCGCAAGGGTACTTGTTCATTTGGAGGCCCTGCAGGGCCGGCACTTACCTGTGGCCGTGACTTTGAGGGTTGCAGCGGAGAAACACTCAAGTGGCAGGGGTAGGCCCGCGACACTTAGAGCAGCGGGAAAACCACTCGAGAGCAGCAGGTAGGCTGGTACCAATCAAGTAGTGGTTGAAGTGTCGGGTACTCGCTGGCAAGCAGAGGAAACCAAAAAGTTGGCATTTTTAGCGGCCCAGTAGCGGCAGGCTAGAAGTAGGCCGGTACCAGTCCAAGTAGCCTGAGTCTAGGGCCTGTAAGGACGACATCAGAGCCTGCAATGATGTTTCCCTCCGAAAGGGAGGAGGTACCGGTTGCTGGGACGACGCGCCGCCTAGGAAGTCGCCGCCCAAGAGGCAAGTAGGCCGAGAGTAGCTCCTCCTCATTTGCGGTGTTCAAGGTTGGGCGACATACTGCTTGAGCGGGCAGCCGGACTCAGAGTGCTGCCTGGAAGGATGAAGAGCAGCTGGGCGCTCAGCCTGGCTATGGCAAGCAGCCCAGCCTGAGGAGGAGGAAGAAGGGGGCAAAGGAGGACTGTGGCGAGGTACCTACCTGGTTATGGTGGACACCATCTTCATCACCTCGATAGGCACTGAGTGTTGGGGTAGTGCCAAAGCAAGCAAGCTCGAGGCAGAGTCAGGTCTGGCGGCCTGACGAGCAGCGACCATAGCTGCTTTGTGTTGTCCTTTGCACAGGAGGGCAGATCCCTTAGCAGTCCGTCATAGCCCTGGCATGTGAAAGGAGGAAGAAGGGGGAAGCCATGGCTATGGTGGACCAGTTGTTGTGCTGGCAGTAAGAGCGTACTTCGAATATTGATTCTGGTCCATCCACTCATTGTTATTATTATTATATGGAAGAAGAATAAGATTGGCAAAGATAAGGAGTAGGAAGGTGGAGAGAAGGGGGATTTGTCAATGGTCTTGCTGGTGTACATCTTCTTCTTCTTCTTCTTCTGCTTCTGCTTCTGCTTCTGCTTCTTTTTCTTCTTTCTCTCTCCTGCTTTGGTCTCTATCTCTTTGTAAGTGCTTTCATTTCTTTCGCAATTGGGTGGCATTGTCTTTCCTTGTGAATTTGCACTTCGAAAATGACCACGATCGTAACATCACGTACTTTCTCTCTCTCTCCTACTGCTGTTTGCTTTCTTTAAGACCCTGTACAAAGCCCCAGCCTTGTAGAAAATTGCAAATTGCCAGCTCCACATTTTTTGCGGCTCGGCCAAAACAGGAAAGAAAAGTGCGCCGCTGGCGGTTCGGAAAGCTTGGCGCACAGTGAAGCGCTTCCAGGCTCACGCGTACTGGTGGTTTCTTAAGTCCATTGGGTGTAATCTCTGGTCTTTGCAGATGCTTGCCAGATGATATCGTGCTCATAGCCCTCTATCACGGAATTATTATGTTGTTCAGCCTTCAGAAAATCACCAATTTCTAATGCTTCGCTTGCATAGTGTCTTATGCTGATGAGTATGCCCCTTTTTGTCCATACACACATAGGAAACACTCAGTATGGGAATACTTTGTTTGCTGGCACCACAAGTGGTTGGTTCAGGAGTGTACCTTCTCAGCTATGCCGGTTGGTAGCTGGTGCGTTCAGGTTGGGTTAGCAGCTGGTGTGTTTGGGTTGGGAATTGTTGTGTTTTTTTTTTTTGAGGGAGGGGGGGGAGTGTCGACTCTCCGGGTTCCCTATACCACCCGCTCGCTGACATGGCCCTCCTTCGCATTTCATCTCATCCCCGCCTCTGGCCCGCGGCTTTGCCAGGGCGGGTTCGACTCGTTTTAATAAAAGAGTGATGGCCTTGGGATATTGTCATTGAGCTGACCTGCCCAACGAAATTCAGAAACATTTGCTTCATTCACCTAGTTCCATCATCTGGATTCGAATATGGGTCTGTATTTCAACAGTTCATGGCCATATCAACTGAGCCTGCCGGATAATGGCCCCGACAGGGGCTGGCACTCAGACACAGTCAATCATCGATGATTCATCATGTACTTTGGGATGCCCGACCCGGTTTCCAGCAGGTGCTGCTCCCCACCAATAGACTGGGGCATCCGACGGTAGGCTATCCGGCGAGGTGCTCTTATCACCCTGACCTGGTATTCCGAGGCCGGTTTTTCAACTTTTTGCAAGGAACATGAATGTGAGCGAAGTACAGAAATCCAAATTGCAAATCACGCTGAAG